TTTGTGTTGATCAACACTTCAGTCAAACAAAACACAGGAAGCAGCAGATGATCACATTTCAACAACTGGAGCCACAAAATGTTTGGAATCTTTTCTTAATGACTTGAACAATGAATTCTCAATGATCAGTCGGTCACACTGTATTTGTTTGGTCCATATTCACAAGTTGTCTCATGTTCTTAAAACTCAACAAGACTAAGAGGATTAAACCCTGAATGTAAACTGATCAGTGATCAGTGACATCAGAAAAACTGATGACGACTCTAATTTACTTCTGTTAAACAAGGATCATTCAGTGAAGAGGAGTTTTCCTCTGTTCGTGATGCAGCTTTAACTTCACCACAGGTGCATTGTGTATTCACCACAGTGTAGTAGTACATGCATATAGTATATAGAAGTACTCACTCACCCTCTCTGGTTCTCTGCTGCAGATGAAATGTTCAGGAAACGTTTATTGGATCTGAGACATGAAACTGTGAGAGGACGTCAACAAGTTCATCCACTAAAGTGAATCTTTCCAAAATAAACTCCGTTAAATCAAGAATTGTATCTGTTAAATTATATCATGTGATTTCTAGTCAATCTAATCGGTTCAGGTCTTTAAATCTTTAGTTTAATTCACAGAGTAAGAGATTTCTTCACTTTGATTTAATGAGTACTTTATCGACGGTCCCTGATTTAAGTTTCAGTTTCATTTCTCAACAAAAAAGAAACTTACGCAAGAGGCGTAACTGAAATCTCGTAAAGTACGTAAACTCAGTACGTTTGAGTTGAAGGTCATAAATCTGAGTTACAAGAAATCTATTTTTATTTTGGAACAAATGTTGAATTTTGCTGCTTCAGTTGACACTTTGGTATTTCACAGATGTGATTTTATACTTGTGAGGTAAATTTGAGATACTTTTTATTTCAAAACTTCAAATTTTTCACTTTTCACGTTTGTTTTGAGCGCTGACGTAACTGATGCTGACTTTTTAAGTGAAACTAAGAAGTTCACATCCCCCCTGTCTGCTTCTGGAGCTGATCAGTCTTATTAAAAACACAAAAACACACATGATGAGCTTATGAAACATGCATCTGAAGAGATTTAACTAAACATTTGTCAAACCAGTTACAACAACACAGAGTTATCTACAAACAAATGCATCAGTAACAATCCTCCAGGATATGTACATGAATCCAAACACTGAAGCAATGGAGGTGGTGATAAAACTGAGAAAATAAAAACTCCACACGAAACATCACAACAAACAGGATTCTGATGTTTCATCATCAGTTTCCTCTTCAGTCCTGTGAAGCTGCAGCTTTCACGATTCTCCGAACCACCACCCTGCTCCTCCTCCCCAGAGGTCGACTCCCAGCAGCCACCACGTCTCCCAGCAGGGGCCCCAGGGGTCTGGGTTCACCTCGGGGCGCTGCAGGCTTCCTTCCTGATCGCACCCCGTCCACGAAGTCCTCCACCCCGTCAAACCTGACCGTGAGCTCGGCCAGACGCTCTTTCAGGGCGTTGAACTCCTTGTAGAGATCTCCGAGGGCGTCTGACAGGTGCTGGATCCTGAGGGAAATTCAAATGAAGGAATAAATGAAAATGTCCTCCTCACTGACACAGTCACAGAAAGTTCCTCAGAGGAGAATCACCTCCCGTAGTCGGGCAGCACAGTGTTGTGGTCGTGCAGGAGCAGATCTTTGACCTGCGTCACGATGGCGTATTTCCAGTTGTCCAGGACCAGTGTGAGGTTGGCACAGCCTCTGGTGTTCACTCGCTCTGCTTCAGGTCAGAAACACAGAATCACTGCAGAGACCCACTTCATCCAAACCACATCCACACAATGATCCAACCATCAAATCAGGATTCAAACGACAAACAGATGAATGATGGAGGAAGAAACTGATTTTAATCAGAAACAGAACAATGAGAAATGATGGCAAAGGTTCTGAATTCAGACGGAAAAGTAAAAAAAGTAAATTGCAATATACAGAATATAAAATGTTCATTTACAAGCTGTTCACAGGAGGCCGTTTAAAAAGTTTAGATAAAAACACAATACATGAAGCCTCTATGTGTTTTCTAACTTAATTAAAAGTTACGGTATCTGTAAGTTCAAACATCAGATTTGACTGTTTGAACTTTTTTAAAACACAATTCCAACACACGTGTGCAAAAACCACAAAGTGCCTCAAACATAATAATCACAAGGGTTCATTGTAAAACTAAGATGTTGAAATACTGTTTGTGCTTTAGTTTCATTGTTGACATGAATAAACTGACTTTATTTTAATAAACACTGAAATGTCCTAAAAACAACTTTTATAAAGTTGGTAAGAAGTGTTAAGAGGAGGAGGATTACATGAGGAAAGTTGAAAAGATCTATTTCTCCACTCACCTTCATTCCTGAACTCCCAGTCTGCTTTCTGAGGGGTTTTCTGTCTCTGAGCTGCAGACAGAGTCACCAGCACCATGAAGAGTGCAGCAGACTTCATCCTTCAATCTGCGTCTGCACACAAAATAAAAACACATTTCACTGTGAGGTCCACAGAGTGAACGTGAACTGCTGAGTGACTTGACCAAGAGTTAAATCTCCACGTTCATGAAGTGTGAAAAAGTACCTGAGGTGAAGGGAAATAATCCTGCGTGGGTGAAGCAGAGTCTTGTTATCAGATTATTATCTGAGAGGAGGGAAGGTCTCCAGATGCCCCGCCCACATGAGGTCAGATATCAGGATTTTACTTCAACTTCAAACTTTAAAAAAAAAAAAACAAAGACGTTGATCTGAACTCAGTTTTCAGCAATAAAACAAAACTGTGTTTTCCTCTAAACCACATTGAGCAGCAGTAAAAGATGAAGAACCATCTGAAGTGTTCTCAGCAGTGATGTGAGTTCTGTGAGCTTCAGCCGACGTGTCTGATGTTTCACATTCCTGCTCCTCATCTGTTTCCCATCCAGAGGACACTGACCCGGGTGGTGATGGAGCTCAGAGCCACTGGACTCCACCTGCTCTCATCGCTCATGTTAAAACATCTGTTGTATGGAGGCAAAACACTGACCGAGGTGCACCTCAGCGAAAATCTATAAAATACACAGAAAGGATAAATCTTTAGAGCTCGGCTGAGGCAGATGCCGATACTGATGTTTATGGGTAAAACATTTGATAGTGTCAGCATATATATATGTATGTATATATATGTTAAAAGTCAATGAATTAGAACCTTTATGACAAAAAAATCATAACTGAGGTTTGATATTTTACAATTTAACCACACTTTTTATAATTAATGTCCTTAAACAGAAAATGCAGCCGAAATAAATAGAAGTTGAATTAAATGTGTTTTTTACATACAATGAAAATGTGCATCTATTGTGCTTTGTTCAGTAAACTAAGTTTGTATCAGCAACACAAACACAGACTCACACCGTGTCTGTGAATCATATAGCAGCTGTTTCGTTCGGCCAACAGATAAATCTGTCGGGCTCTAAAACTCAAGGGTTGTTTATCGTCTTTATGGGAAAATTCTTTGTGTAAAAACTGGAAATAAAAAACTCACTTCTCGTGTATCAGTTAAATACTTGGATGTAGACGTGAATGTGACAATGAAAACCCTGAAAGGCCAAAGTAAGTAATCGGACACCGCAGCATCACATGTGATTGTTGAACAGGTTTCTCAAAGCACCCGCAGCTTTAGTCAGCTGTTACAACTTCCTGTCTACAGATCCATCAGTTCCTGCAGGAGTTTGTTTACATGACGACGCAAGAACATCACTGGTGTCGGATGATGAGAAATCAAAAGTGACTAGGTGTCCGAATAATTTTGGCCATGTAACCTAAAGGGGTTTACACTGAAAATAAACTTCTCACTTGTCTTCACTCTGGAGATTGAATCTAAGACGCAGCAAAAAACAGACAAAGACATTTTGTGCAAAAGGAAATTTTTGTTGTTTATTTAAATTTTTTTATTCTATTTTCAAATCCAGGTGAACAGCACACGACTCTCAGCGTCCTTTGTTAACTCGGCGGAACGTGAGGACCTGCAGTAACTCCAGGAGCGAGCTTGCTCAGCAAACGGGTCCCGGACGAGTACAAAAGGAAAAGGTCGCTGCCGTCCGTTACCATGACATCAGAGAAGATGCTCTCACATTATTCACACAGGGGGCAAAAACAATCCAAGCATTTTCAAATGAATCTACAATTAAAATATATTCTCACTTCATCCATGGAATAACTGTCAAGCTCTTACTTAGAAGCACACGTCTCATAAATATCTAAATGTGCGGCCCGTGACCCGCCCACTTTACTGAAGAGGCCCGTTTCCCCGGAGACGACGACCCCGGGTCAAGTGGACAGTTCTTAGGGATTCGCTCAGTTTTCTTTCAGATGTTTAGTAAAGAATCAATGAAGGGATCGGACGCAACAGTGCGGAGCTACGTGACGTATTGATATGTGTGAGTGGAGTTCAGTCGACGTGTCGAGGTCGTAGAGTTAAATGATTCCAGATCAGTCAAATGAGGCAAATATGGGAAACTGTCTTTTGTGGTTTAATTTTAGAATCTGTGTCATTCGCTATTTAAGAATAAAAGACACCAAACTGTTTCATTTGTGATTCTCTCATATTAAATGAGCAGTAAAAGGCATCAGAGTCCTCAAGTGCTAATTGTCTTTAAAACTTTAAAGCAACACTAAGTAACTTTGACTGAGCAACAGCGCCCTCTGCTGACACACACGGGCATCAGTTCTGCTGGGCTCCGTGTACGAGCGATGACGTGGTTTTATCCATCGATGTGTTCGAGATGTTTCTGATCATTTTGGACGAAGTGCAGACGGAGGAAACGTTTTGCTGTCACACGTTAATGACGTTAAACCAACTGAACCCGAAGGATTCGAACGTTGAAGTCGACTGGAACAAGTTGAACAGAAGGTTTCTCTAAATTCTTTGAATGGGACATGGAGACACTCGTTTTATTTCTCTTGAGGTTTGGAGAAGTTTTTCGTTCTGGGACATTTCTGCTCTTTTCGTGAGAGTCGTGAGAATCACATGTTAAATTTACTTCACGTCCGTTAACTAGATAAAGCCAACGTGCATATTTGTCAGGGTTCGTCTGACAGCTGAGTGATTCTCACTGTTTTCAGACTGAGCTGCATCAGACACACTGTAAATCTGCAAACATCATTCAAGCCTCCTCTGCTGCCGGAGGACGCTCAGGGTCTCTGGGGGGGAAGTCGAGGGAGTAATTACACGACCGACGTCTTTTTAAAAGCTGCTCATCGTCATCCTGCTGACAGACGAGACATCAGAAGAGACACGCGATAGCGTCTGTATCTCTCTCCGCCCCATTGACCCGCAAACTCTTTCTGTCCGAGCAGGAAACTGTTTTGAAGACTGAACGATGGAAAGACCCAGGGGGGCTCATCAGCGGAGAAAAGCTGGTTCCGATCTGACGGCGGGAAAAGGGAAAGACAAGAACCAGGTGCGGGGGATGTGACAGAGAGGGAAGTGGCGAGCACCAGTTGTTTCTACGAGCACGTCGTGATGGCGATGGATGGTGTCGTTTTACCAGAGACAGAACAAACCATCAAAACTAAAAACTACAATTCCAACGAACCAGTGAAAGATGTTGAGGAACCACTTCGAGTTAGAGGGACGTCGGTCACCAACGGGACAAGCTGCACTCACTGGAGGATGTTATCAACGTTTTCTAATCCACGACTTTTCTTTAATACTGAAAATAAACTCTACTTGAACCGAACAACTCTGGAGCCCTCAACGTTTCCGTCTGATGATTGTACTGAAGGGGCTCGTCAAAGAGACCAAGGCCTGTAAAAACCTGACGGAGCAGAGTCCACGCTGGAGATTCAAAATTTTAAGGTATCGCTACAATCGGATAAAAAAAAAAAAAGAAAAAAAAAAGATGCTTAATTAAATAACAGTTTCATTCCTCAAATGTATTTATACACAGCAAAATTCTCCAGAAGACGAAGTGAGAGTGAGCGGGGCACTGATGTGAGAGGACGTCCAAACACTCGAGTCTTTGCTGTCGTCCTGAGTCACAGCAAGATTTATCTGAGCCGGGGGAGGGGGGGGGGTTATTTCAGGGGAAAGGGCCTCAGCCAAAAGTGCTGAACTGTAAAGAAGCCCGCCGCTCACCAGAGCCGCTGTGAGGAGGGACACACACAGAACAGTCTGATTGAACTTTATTTATTGAACGAACTGGATGTAAACAGGTGCATCCCTCCACTCGTCACAGCAGCAGTGAGGCGGCAACGACCGAGGCGAGAGAAACCGAATTCTGAACTTCGCAGCTGCTCCGGGTGCAGTGGCGTCATTGGCGAGTTAAGAGGGCAGCTGGGCGGGGCTGTGTGAGATCACGGAAGCAGGGGGGAGGGGGGAGGTGAAGGGTGGCGGGTTTTTAACTGCGGGGCAGGCTGCACATTTCACAGTGCTCTGTGCCGGGCTGGTTCATGAAGGTGCAGTGGAGGCAGGACCACATGGCTGAGGAGGAGGCCGGGACTGAGGGGCCCCCCATGGCCCCGTAACCCAGAGAGCTGGAGGGTTGCCCGCCCACCGTACCTGAAACACACGAGACGGATTACAGGATGTGTGAAAATATCAGAGGCAGTATCGTGTGTGTGTGTATTCAACGAGCTGCCGATGTTCAGTTCGATCTGTGTCGTGGTTGTTCGGCAGCGACTCACTGCACAGCTGCTCGATGGTGGCCCACTGCTCAGACTTCTTCCAGGTCTGCGCCAGATCCTCGTTAGAAGTCTTCACTGCCTCGAGTAGCAACCCGATGCTGTCCTGCAACAAACGGGAAGCGCAAACAAAATCATCAACCCGCTCCAACGGCGACAAGTTCAGGAAAGTGAAGAGAAACAAAAAGCCTGAGCACATCTGATCAGGACGCTCAGCACAGAAATCTGAGTTTTATTCTCTTTTTTTCCCGAATCAAACAAACTTGTGATCGTCACGAGAGGCCAGTCTGACAATCTAATGAACAGAGGGTCTGAGTGAAAACATCCTCACACCACTAACCACTTCCAGACCGAGGGGGAAATGTGGTCGTCTACGTGTTCCCACTGAAAGAGCAGAGGAGGCCTTGAAGTGCTGACTTACTCTCAGAGGCATGACTTCATTGGTGACGAGGAAGAGGAGCAGATGGAAGTCGGACACGATGTCCAGGAAAGCCGTGGAGGTGCTCTGGGACAGGTACGTCGCTAAACTGTGGAAGTCCTGCACAGACACACGCAACACAAAACAAGATGTGTAACTTCCTCCGACCTCGCAGAGGTTTGGAAAGATGAAGCTATTTTGGTCCGCTGAACTGGAACTGGTGCTTCAGGTCGAAATACAGACATGAACTTGTACTGCGTCTGCTGCAACCATGAGGGTGTCAACAATCAGTTACACAAAACACGTGATGAAATGGTTACAGCCTTCAAGTCGTGTGTGTGTGTGTGTGATCTCCCGTCTCTCTCTCTCTCTTACTTGTGTCTCTCCGAGTATATCGCGGTTCTCGATGGGGAAGTGTTGTTTGGAGCAGAAGGTGAACTGAGGATCCTTTGGAAAAGTGGTGGTGATCTGGAAAAGGTTAAAAAAAGAAAAAGGAAATTAGACTAAATGCTTGCGTTGAAACATACGTGTGTTTAGTATGTTTAACACCAAACGTACTCACATCTATAATAAGATACTCCACAGGAAGAGGCCGAGCGAGAAACGTGACATCATTTCCAAACTTGTCCGTGTCCTGATGGACGGAGACAAGTTGGATTCAAATTAAAATCTCAACATCTGAACACAAACATCTGGAGAAACTGAGTCATGACACCTGGCCCACAGAGTCTGCATGATATTACACAGCTCAGACGTGGAGCAATGATTGTTTCTAATGATCATTAAAATATTACACCCGCCACATGTTTGAGATCGTACCTTGAAGAAGACGTCGGGGACGTACTGCTCGGGGCTCGACTCTTTAGCGTAGCCCAGCTCTGGAGCGTCTTTGCAGGGCAGCAGACACTCGTCTCTCACCAGAGCCATGCACTGATTGGACACCTGGTATCCTTCAAAGTGCACCTGGTTATCTGGACTCCCTGCAGACACAGACACAGACGGATGAAGTCGTCTGCTGGAGGACGAGTAAACTCACTGGTGATTTCACTGTTGAGACCAGTTTGATTGGACAAACATATGAAAGTCCGTCGTTTAGACATGTGAATGTTTTGTTGTTTGTTTAATCATTTATTTCGTCTTGAAAACCCACAACTGTTGAAATGAAGGACGGTGTGATCATCAGCAGCAACACAGACGAAGTCAGTGAGAGAATAAAGCTGAAGGAAATCTATGAAAAAACTAACAAAGAAGTTTAGCGCATGACGACGTCATTAAACAATTATTTCGTCCGTGTCACTGAGTATTTCAATCGTCTGCCTCACACATGCAGCTCATTTGCAAACACACCACGTCTGTACTCAAGGGAAAGTAGACGGATGGACTTTGGCCCCGGCTGGAATCACATGTGTATCATGACATCAGCTTTGGCTGCCAGAGCCTCATTAATGCAACCGACCGTGATGAGGTCATCACACCGCCTTGTGCTTTTGTGCACTTGTGGAACAAATGTAAGCGATTTTGTGCGTTTAGAACAGAAGAGTAAACACTTGGCGTTGATTCCACAGAGATTTGTCCTCGGAGAACATGTGGCTTGAGTTACAGCGTTTCTTCGGCCTCTAAATTACAACGCACACAGAGTGGATATTTGAGAGGAATGAAAATAAAAAACCGACAGGCACCTGACAAACCTGGACTGAGTTAAAACATCTGTAAAGTACAAATAGGTGGTTAATAAGAAACGAAGCTGTGTTTTTAAATAACATGCAGGGATTCTGCAGGTTTCAATAAGTTCAACTTTTTCAGACATAAATGAATTAAACTGACCGTCTATGTCAAGTACGACTGACATGAAGGAACATCAGAATTATTTACAATATATCTGATAATATCTGTATCATTAGGAAAGAACTAAAACACACGAAGAGATTAAAAATGATGCTGATATTTGACTGTAAAATTAAAGCAGCTAAAAAATAAAACACAATAACAAGCAACACACGTGATCTTGACAAGAATTGTAACATCAGCCTCAGAGTGAACGACACCTCACCTGTCGCCAGCGCCGTCACAAATTTGGATCCAAAATGTCCGTCTCGAGAGAGTCTGCAGGGGTTCGAGTGTAGATTCTGGAAGTAGCCTGCTGTGATGCACTCCTCTGCGCTCAGGTAGTGTGAGTCCTGACAAGAGAGAGAACAATGATCAGCCATGGAGGAGGAGGTCAGGATGTTAGTCCGAGGAACAGGCTTCATCCTCACCTGGTTTCTTGTGTAGCGGACAGTGCCTATCCTCGTATCCTCAGAGAGCAGGTCTGTGAAGATCCAGCCAACCTGGAAAACACATTCAATCAAGTAGTTCGGTTCATTTTCACGCATCACCGGTGGCATCAACGTTCACATAAAGACTCAAGACGGAGTATTGATAGTAAACTGAAAGTGTCTGATCCAAGCACAGCGGTCACATCAGTGTAACGAGTCTGATAACGAGACCAGAGCAGAGATATTTAATGGGATGAAGGATTTGGTGTCAAAGTAAAAAGTAGAAGTTCCTTATTCGTATTTCAGCTTTAACCTAATACTTAACAGGCGAACTGAGAACATGAATTATTGCATCTATAACCTTTATCTAAATTTATATCTTCACGTGCAGTGTTACATGTCTCAACCAGTGGACAGCAGAAGACAGAAGAGCAAGGTTTACATTCGCCCATCGGACCTTAACATTTCACATATTCAAGCACTAGAGGCCCATAAAAAACAGATCGCTTCACTTGAGGTCCTCTGGTTGAAAGCGTTCAACATTTTCTGAATAATAAATCTAGTCCACGGCTTCGATAATGGGCCTTAAAAACCATAAATCTGTTTGAAACTTCTGCCAACACGCAAGTGTGGAAACACGATATGAAAACCCAGCTTGTCTAAAGCCAATGAGAGACGGTGTGAAAAGGAGCCGCTGAAGAAAAGAAGGCCGACCTTGCACAGGCCCAGTTTGGCAGCAATTTCATCCACAGCTGCAGCTTTGGGATCCTCCAACATTTCCAGGCTGTTCTGGGTGGCATTCTGTAACACGGAAAAAGAAAAGGGTCTTTAATGCACCTGCAAGGAAAACTCTTAAAAAGGTTGAAGACATGAAAGGATGAATTACGAGAAACAAAAATAGAATAATAGACAGTTAGTGACGATACTAATATGTCATGATGTTTAATGAGAATCTCTCACCTGTGGAGGTTCGTAGATGGCAGCCACCTCAGCTCTGATGCCCAGCGGGATGTCTTTGTGCTCAGTGTACTTGCCGTACAAGTATCCCATCCTCTGACTGCCCGTCTTCCTCCAGAAGTCCAGGAAGCGGTTGGCAATGGTGTGGTTCTCAAACATGATGTTATCCACGTGTCTGTATTTCTGTAAGATGAACAGAATTCAGGACTCGGGACATTTTAAGCCATAGCTCCAAACATCAGCTAAGATTTGAATCTGTGTTTATTCAATCTCCAGCTCATCAGGCCAGCGTCTTACTTCGTAGCCCACTACCATCGACCGGATCATTAGAAACTCACAGGAATGTTATCTGAACAACAAAAAGACTGACACTCCCTTCTTTTAAGGAATGTCGTCTGGCGTCACCATCCTCACACGAGACAGTCGCAGTCCACACGTCTTGTTTTTGTTTCCTCGGTTGAAGAATGAGTTGCCAGACACGTTTTAGAAATTATAAAACTGAAACGATCTCTGTCCACACGTTTTAGCTGCACATCAGTAAGTATCACTGTCACATCACATTACGAGCATGTCACGTGGTGCAAACAGGAAGCAGATTGTCTACTCGGCAGCTTGTTGCTTAGTTACAGAAAATAATATGAACGAGGGACAGCGATGGTGAAAAGACAGAGCAGGGATTAATTTTCTTGGATCGACGAAAACACTACTTTTTAACGGTTTGCTAAAAATGATGAACTGTATTTTGTGTATTCGCTGAGCTTCACGGCCACAGACATGCAGGTACAGTTACATACCTGTCTGTTCAGTGTGATCGCGCTGGGCTGGCACTTAGTGCAGATCCCCTCTGGCCACGGAGGGTGGCCCTCACAGCCTGACTTGATCTTACAGCTGATGTTCTCCAGAGCTGCAAACTTCCCTCTGCAGGACGTGAAAACACACTTAGAAGCTGGAAAAGAAAAGAGATGGAAGCATTTCTATTGGAAGAATAAAAACCACTCCTCACTTATCAGCTCCACCGGTCAGCTTGCGAAGGTAAGCATGGAATGACATGTGCTTCACTGGTGGGTCGAGGTGATTCAGGTAGTCTTCGTCAAAAGGCTGAAAAAGAAAATAGGCAAATACTCAGCAGGTTAAAACTGTCTGATGGTAATGGCGTTAGCTTGAACATCTTTCTGACTCTTCTTACCTCTAACGGTACACAGTGCACACATTTTCCAAGAGCACCGTGGCGACATCTGAAACAAGATGAGAACTGTTAGAGATCTGAGAGAAACGCTTCACTATACATACAACACAGGGACGTCTCTTCCTTACAATTGAGGATCTTTGTTCCTGTAGATCTTGCCGTCTTGCTTGGTCAGATACTGATCAATTTCATCCTCCTGGACCTGGGGTGCTGAGAAGGACCGAGGGATCATGGTGGACGATGAGGAAGATGACAAGACGGACGGTAGCGATGAAGATGTGTGCGGGGTGGCCGTGTCCATCACCTCTCCGGAGGAGCTGGAGGAGCCTGAAGGGAACAGATACAACATGTCGCCATGCCTGAAGAAAATAAAGAGAAATGAGATGATTAAAGCTTCACCAAAGATTATCGACAAACATAAAATTAATGGCAAAGAAATTTAAATTAATAAATAAGTTCACATACATTAATTAACATGAAATAACCATTAATTTCTATCACTATTTGACTAAATAGCACATTTGAAAATCAAACGTAGTGTTTCTAGAAGCATGTAAACTACGAACTTAATTTGACAATAAGACTTTTAAAAAACTTCCCACATCTGACTCTGATTGTTGGAGATGAGTTTGTAATAAACATTTGCTTTTACTTACTTGATCTTAAGCAAGCTGAGGGTAACGTTCTTGGACAGAATCTCTCCGGTCTTGTTGCGGTTCAGGTAAACAGAAAACCCATTGGAGTTGAACCCAAACTCTGTGGCCACCTGAGGGAGAAGTAGATGGAGTGACCTGATTAGAATGAGTGAAAACACTCTCACATCAACCGAGAATCAAAATACCACCTTCTTCAGAAACATGACAGGAAACACTTCACACCAGCACCTTGTGTCAAGTGTGTCCATCTCAGAGCAGATTAGCAAAGAGCCTCTTGGCACGAGAGCACCTCAGCTTGTAAGAACACCTCTTATAGTCACAACACTTTGAGCCAAACTAAGCTATTAAGAGCAGTCTGAGCTGGACGGGTTTGACATTACATCTAAACATCACGACAGCCTGATGCTGATGAAGTGCTTGCTCTTCATCACTTTAGATTTACTGAATTAATCAGCCATTAGTGATCTCAGAGAGCAGAACTGTTGACATTGGAACAGGACAATTATCTTGGCATTCAAACTAATCCACCAATGACTGAGTGGGAAGTTGCATTTTAAATCATTTTGGACTTTGTGGAACAACGCTGTGTGTATTTTTGCTTCTCTTTCAGTTTGGTAAAACTAAGCAGGGAACAGTCTTTGAGCATTAAATCATTATTTTTCTTCAAGCCACACAAAGAACAGTGTGAGATGCTATCACTGTGCGCTGGTGAAACTGAACACTGTGTGTTTCACAGAGCACCGCGCTCCTTTCATTCTGTCTAAGCAGCAGAAACATAACCTGCAGGGCTCCGGCCTCTCTGCTTCATACCCGTGGTTTTCCATTCCACCCGTCGCTGGCTGCACATCAGCAGGGACTGAAAACTACTCTTCCATTGATCTGCAGGCTGAACCATTCTGCCTCAACTCAGACACATGCATTTTTAATGAGGTGGTACTGGAATTTTCCATTCTGACAGTTCTGCTGAATTATGCTTCTATTCCAGGTTATTCAAAAAACAAAAACCTAACCTAATGAGTAACTACATATTTATAAATCATTTGTGTTTATTATCCTGTGTAGGACTAATGTCTTGGCTGTAAACTGTGCAGATGTGATGAGAAGAGTGAATCCACTACATTTCCTTTTCATCAAAACTCCACTGTGTGTGACAGCAGTGTTTGTAGCACAGTTAATAACAGTGTAAATGTTACAGGTGAAGAAATGGATCCAAGAACTCAGGGTTTGAGAAGATCTGATGGATGTTAACACTGGTTACAGGTAGTTGTCTGAATAAAAGCAGAAACTTTATAGTTATGATAATCATACATCTTACCGGACAAATCTAAACAGGCTACGTGTCTTCAAATACAAATAATCCCCCAACTCTGGTTTCACTTGTATAGACACTGTTTGTTGTTCTCCATCAAGATTGCAGATGTTTTTAATATCAAACATCTGTTTCAGGGCAGCGTGGTGCAGTGATGGGCACCGTCACCTCACAGTGAGAAGGTTTATGGTTTGAATCCCCCTGCGACTCTTTGATGGCCCTTATGAAAAGGCACGTGTCCACTTCTCTGAGTGTGGACGTGGGTGAAAGCGGCACATTCGGGGTTATCGGTGACCGTGGGGATTTATCACTGTACCTTATTCAAAAACGCATCAGCCGTCTCCGTCTTGGTCGAAGGGATCTTCTTCATCCCGCTGGGGGACTGGACCCTGATGATCTGATGGGACAAAGACAGAAGGGACAACGTGAAACACCAGCTGGTTCTCTGTGGTCTGGACACATCTCGAATAACATGACCCCCCACCCCCACCCCCACCCCCACCACCTGCCAGTCAAAACAAGGGACCCCCCCCC